CTTACTGGAGATGACATCTGTGATCTGATCCTACAAATTCTTGGCAATGATCACCAAAGTATCCTATATATGAGGATATTTAGTTTGCAAACATGTACCATTAGATAATATAAAATATCCTTTCATTTGAATGTATTCTCAGAGCACATGAATAGTCTAAGGTATGCTTTTCAGAAGTAGAAAAAAAATAGACATTGAGATATTTAACAGTCTATCAGGGAACATTCTTTTCTGTCTAAACACACCATTTTCAAAATATCATGGAGAATATTTTAAAATATTATCAGATTATTTGTAGAGCACTGGCATTTTTGTTTTTCTTTCAATGGATCATATCTTGAAATGATTATAGTAATACTTATAATTGTAGACAATGTAACATTAATGGAAAATAAGAATTTTATAGAAAGTAAAGCCCAGGGAACTTTACTTGACCACTTCCGGGATACTCAGAATTTTCTAAATAAATAAAAATAAATAATAGATAAGTGATGCCTCACCAGAATGTTTGCCCATGAAACAATAAGACAAATAATAAAGGAAAGTGTACATTTCATTTTACATTAATTGAACTGCAAAATTAATCAGAACCATCCTAAAGTCAGTAAATGTGTGTGTGAAGATATTGTGGAGAAAGTGTTATTCTTACCATATTTTGTGACACTAACGAAGTTCTTGGAATTAAAGACAGAAGTAGGAACAACAGTTTAATAACACAGATGTAGAATATTTTTATGAGAACGAAATACTTTTATTTTAAATAATCTATCATGCCACTTGGTAAAACTAGTTCCTTTTTCTTTTGCAGAAGACACATTTCATGCTCTTTTCTTCTTGTTCATAAACCATGCAGCTGAATATTAATGTGACCAGTTTTCTTCTCCTTGGCTTGACACAGGACCCTAGGAGGAAGAACTTAGTGCTTGCCATTTTCCTGTTCTTTTATATAGGGACATTACTGGGTAACTTTCTCATCATTGCTACCATCAAGACAAGCCAGGCACTTGGGAGTCCAATGTACTTCTTCCTGTTCTATTTGTCCTTGTCTGACACCTGCTTCTCTACAACTGTAGCTCCTAGAACAATTATGGATTCTCTGAGGAAAGATGCCTCTATTTCTTTCAGTGAGTGCATAATACAAGTCTTTACATTCCATTTATTTGGCTCACTAGAGATCTTCATCCTCATCCTCATGGCTGTTGACCGCTATGTAGCCATCTGTAAGCCTCTGCACTATATGACCATCATGAACCGCCAGGTCTGTGGGATGCTAGTGGCCATAGTCTGTGTGGGATCGTGTGTGCATTCTTCAGTTCAGATATTTCTGGCCTTGAGTTTACCCTTCTGTGGTCCCAATGAAATTGATCACTACTTCTGTGACTTGCAACCACTGTTGAAACTTGCCTGTTCAGACACATATGTGATCAACCTTCTCCTGGTGGCCAATAGTGGGACCCTTTGCACCGTGAGTTTTCTCATGCTCATGGTCTCGTATGTCATCATTCTGTATTCCTTGAGAAACCACAGTGCTGAAGGGCGGAAAAAAGCCCTGTTCACTTGTGTCTCCCACATCATAGTAGTCATCTTGTTTTTTGTGCCTTGCATATTTATATACACGCGTCCTGCAACCACCTTCCCTATGGACAAAATGATATCGGTGTTTTACACAATTTGTACACCCTTTCTCAACCCTCTGATTTACACACTGAGGAATGCAGAGGTAAAAAATGCCATGCGGAAGCTGTGGAGCAAAAAAGTCTCAGGTGATATATAAGGAATCAAAGGTTGTATTTATTTTAATAAAGAAAATCTTAGTTTTCAGTTATATGTTTAGAATAGCACTGTTCTGAGAATGGAGGTTTGGTTTCTTCAAGAGAATGGACAAACGGGGTACATCCTGAAATAAATATCAAATTATTTTATGGAAAAGAAGATGTAGCAAGGAGATATGAGGATTTATCTCAGTCAACTTGTTTTAAATGTTGATCTCTATTAGGTCCATGTTCTGGTCAAATATCTTATATTCAGAGCATTAGAATGTTTACCTTCTCTCAAATGATTTTCTTTATTATAGATTTTTTTCCTTATGTTTCCTCATTACACTTTTGTTCTTGTCTTCTTCAATCAAAGGAATGTAATGTATTTACAAATTTATAGAAGTTTTGTTGCAAGGTACAATATGAGTGTGTTGTTTGTTTAACTGTGTGTGTGTGTGTGTGACAGAGAGTAAAGGTCTGTTTATGTGTGTGTGCACCTGTGTTAGCATGTTCTGCCTCTTCACATTGTGCTTATTCTTAACACCTAACCTAGGAATATCTTTAAATTAATGCTATCATGATTGGTGGTATGGCTAGAATATGTGTGAATGTATCTGTCATTCTTAGACATCTGCCTGTCTGTCTGTCTATCTATCTATCTATCTATCTATCTATCTATCTATCTATCTATCATATATATATATATATATATATATATATATATATATATATATATATATATATCATTATACAAAGAGAGATACATGCAAAATATACGTGCATGTATATGTGTGTTAGATAATTTACCAGTTTTGAGGTTATATTCCATAGGTTTTTGTTGTGTGTATGTGTCATTACTCAGAACCTGTAATAACATTAGAACAAGTAGAGAGAACCCACACAGCAGAAACCCTCTGACATTAGGAAGATTCCACTTGTGGCTTTACTATCACTATATTTTTAAAATAATAATTGGACACTTATGAACTTTGGGGGAACAGTTCATCTTTAATCATTTGAGGTTTGCATTGAACTTTAAAAAACTGTAAAACAATGTGCATGTCAAACAAAGCATATTTCTGAAATTGTAATTCCATATAAACTATGGCACTCACACATCACCACTGGAAGACATTGCAATTAATTATCAGTTCTCTAATTATGGTATATTCCATTAATTTATCATTTCAAATCAGATGATGAATATCTCTTTTTCAAGTTCATAATTGAGACTCTACACCCATTTAAAAAGTGCTCAAATGTATACTCATGTTGTTTTTGTTATTTTTTTTGTTTTCTTTTGCAAATGTGCAGCATAGAAAGTCTTCAAAGTGGTGTAAGACTCTAAAATTAGGAGAATGTAGAGATGAAGAAAGGGCAGTTCCTTATGTATAGTTTGTTAATCTTTACTGAACATGGATCACAGAAAACAATGAGGTTTTCTGCACCTGTTAAGCTCTGTCAGTGTCTTCTTCACCAAAGCCCATCCTGTCCTTATATAGTAAATAAGACCCTGTGGCAAAGAAACCACATTCTTACACATATGTACACACACACAATAACTGTGGTGATGGATATGCTAATATATTTGCTTTTAATGTTCATTCTTCATATTATATGTATACACATCAAATAAAAAACATTTTACCATTTCTACAATAAAATTGGACAAGAAACATAAAGCAGGTAGAACTAACTTAATCTGGAATGTAGGCTAATATCTTCAGAACACTAGTTGGTATTTCTTTCATTTCTCCTTAGACCTTCAGTGAACTAGGCAGGATCTCTGGGTATATTATGCCTCAAAGCTGATGAGCTAGGGCCCAGAGAGTGAGTTCAAGTTCCTCGGGCCTTCAAACTTGATATTTCTGATGCTCACCATCTGTACCACAGTCTCCTCTAAAAGAAAGATGACTTGAAAGCCCTTCAAGTATCTCCATCCTCTTTGCAAAAGACACATTTAAAGGTCAGGAACTAATTTGCAAAAGGGATCCACAGGATGACAAAGATTTTAGGGAGAATTTGCTTTTCATTTCTAAAAGACAGAAGTATTTATGTCCTGCTTAAAAAAAGAATAGGGAATTTAGAAATATAACAAGAAGAATGAAAAAATATAATGGAAAGGAGGCAGGAAGATATAGTCAAGTTTCAAATTCCATTTACATAGAGAGAATGAAACCTTTGCTGGGAGTGTCTTTCTCAGGAAATTGAAAGAAAGCAGGTGTGACAAGGTCTGATTCTGCTAGGCGGCCCAGAAATTGCTATGCAGCTGAGATTGACTGAAATCTGGATCCTCATCCTGACTCTCTCATCCCATCCCCACCCCTGTCAGGCTCACATACACACATACCCCTTAGTGCTAAGTTTTCAGGCCTATCCAGTAAACATATTGTTTATTTTGTTAACATTTAATCATATGAATGCAGCCATGTTATTCTTAGGCAATACACTTTCCCAGGAGTAATACTTATATTACTTATATTTCAATATAATTAAAACCTATGTATAGAAAAAAATAGTAGCTGGATAATTTTATTTTAGCAAAATACAATGAAACAATGGTAAAGGCACATTTATACTCAATATTTACTCTAGTAAAATAAATCTCAGCGTTTGGATCCCAGTGAAGGGAAATGTTATACTCAGAGATCTATCTAAAATGAGAATGGGATAAATGGAATGGTATCAGAAGAGAGATGTCAAATGGACTAGACATTGTTTAGGTATTTATTGCTTGTAAATATGATATAATCAAGCAATAAATAATAATAACATATATTAGATTATAAATAATAATTAGAATATTAGATCAGCTAATCTAATATTCTAATTGTTGGACTCAAAGAATATGAATAATAATGAATGGAAACACTGTTTACCAAAACCAAGTGATTAAAACTAATTTGTAGTCTTCTAAATATTTTTTTACACTCTTTGCCAATTGTACCACAGTTTCAATGTTGTGAAGCTTAATAGTTTTGTTTTCTGAAGTCTATTAAAAATCTATTGCCTTGGATGTGATCCTTCCCATGTGTATAATCATTTATGCAATATACATACACTGAGAGCTTAATAGGAAAATACCAATTTTTTCTCATTTTTTGAGACAGGACTTCTCCATGTAGCCCTGGCTGTCCTGACACTTGCTCTGTAGAATAAGGTTGCCTGGAACTCACAGAGATCCCATTGCCTAGGCATGTGCCACAACCACCCAACTTAAATACCATATTTCTAAACCCTAGAAACAGCCTTAAGTATTTCATTGGTCTCACTTAAAACAGTTAAGTAGGAAGAGGAGACAGCAATGATTTTATATGATTCTTATGATTGAATAATAGAAATTTTTTCATTCACATTTCTGAAAATTACCTGAACATAAATATGAGAGTATGATCATGATTATCATACCTTACTTCTGTATAACCCAGTGCCCCATCATTTCTCTCCTGAATCCTGTGAGGTTGCTGTTATTGTTTCACTAAGCAATGGCATTAGTCAAGGCTGAAGAAATTGAAGTTTGCCAAATTAAATGATAACTCTCAGCTATTTTCCTGTAGTCTGCCAGGAAACCTTTCTAGCCCACAGTTTCCTCATTGCATTCTTTACTTCTGCATTTCTCAGAGTGTAAATCAGAGGGTTCAGCATGGGAGTGATAATGGTGTAAAATACAGCCACCATCTTGTCCTCTGAGAAGGTAGTGTCAGGCCGCATATACATGAAAGTACAGGGACCGAAAAAGATGATGACCACAGCAATGTGGGAACCACAGGTGGAGAGAGCTTTGCGTCTGCCTTCTGCTGACTGCTTTCTCAGAGACACCAAAATAACTGTATATGAGATTAGTAAGATAACAAAACTGCCCAGTGCAATGGTACCACTGTTGGCTGTCACAACAACACCAACAATGTAGGTATCTGTGCAGGCGAGTTTCAGGACAGGGTGTACATCACAGAAGTAGTGATCAATCTCATTGGGTCCACAAAAGGGGAGCTGTACCACCAGAGCCACTTGGATAATGGAGTGAAAGAACCCACCCACCCATGTTCCCAGCAACATCTTGTTACATCTGTCCCGGTCCATGATAGTCATGTAGTGGAGGGGTTTACAGATAGCCACATATCGATCATAGGCCATGACGGTAAGAATGAAGATCTCAGTGCAGCCAAAGAAATGAACCCCAAAGAGTTGTAACATGCACCCCACATAAGAGATAGTTTTTTTCTTCACTAACAGGTCAACAATCATCTTGGGTGCTGTGACTGAGGAGTAACAAATGTCCACAAAAGATAGAAAGTTGAGGAAAAAATACATGGGGGACTTGAAAAGATTGCCAGTGCAAACTGTGAGCATAATGAGAAGGTTTCCCAGCACTATGACCATGTAAAAGAAGGAAAACACTACAAAGCATACTTCTTCAACTTCTGGGTTCTGAGAAAGACCCAAGAAAATGAATTCAGTGACATTGTTTACTCCTTCTATGGAAAAAGATCTTGAAGCCATATTCCCAAGAGTACATTAAATTACCTGAAATAAAAATGAAAAAGACCATCAACATTCATTTCTCTTTTATAACCAATGAAAAATTAAAGTGGCTGGAGTTGGAAGGTGAGCCCTTATATCTTCAAACTTAGGCTTCAGTTTAAATGTATCTCTTCTGATCAGCTTACCTCAGTGTTATATCCCCATGCTCTTTTGAGTTCAGATGAGAAGTGAAGTCCAAAGGCACAAGGCCAATTCTTCCAGTCTCAGATGGCACCTGAAGAGCTCCCTCCTCTTCTTTGTAAGGTTTATACACAGCTTCTAATGTACTTGGATCTTTTGTATGAGATAAACAGACTTCCCTCTGAAGTATCAGCAAATGCTTGCTGCATTTTTTTTTTATGGAAAAAGAATGTTTTCTCAGATTTTCTCTGCTTCACACTGCCCTGTCTCAGTGTCACATCTGCTCAGAATTCACAAGTAGCACAGCCCCAGTGACTTCTGCAGGCTTCCCTTCCCCTGAAAATTGAGGCATCTTGAAGTGAAATTATGGCCTCTCATCTGACTTCAGGAGTTCAATATCCACTATGTAGTGTCATAGAAAGACTCTTAAATTATACATATTTGATCTTGTAATAATCTCACTTTAAGCCAAATGAATCAGTTAACTTTATGAGACCTCCCTTAATATATTTATGATATAATAAACTTTTAAGGTATTATTATTTGTCATAAATTGTCACTTCTACAATGAAATAAAATCACTTGCATAAACATAGAATAACCATATAATCCTGAAAAGGCAAAGATAATAGAATATGCATCATTATGATAATAATAAATGATAATAGAAGAATCTTCTGTAGATGAAGCCAGCTTTGCTAGCTTGATCAAGATCCCAGATAATTTCTTCAGCTGCAATAGGGGTCACTTCAGGATTTCTCCATAATTTCCTTAGCTTGATATTTAAATGCCTATATGAAACAAAGAGAAAAACAAAACCAAAACAAAAGAGGAAATGCTCTGCACTTTAACATCAGCTTTTCTTTGGGCATCCTCATATATCCTGTTTCATTTAGCTACACCATATGGCTTTATATGAACTACTTTGAATTCAATATTTCTGGGAGAGGTTATCATTCAATTGGCCGGGAATGATTCTCAGGAGAGGACAAATTTGATTTCAATAGAAGTATCTTTAGCAGTACAGTTACAGGCATTCTAATGGGCATCATTGATATGGGAAAGCAAATGTGAATAAGCTGTGATTAATAGAGGTTTCAAGATCCTTTCTCAAATAACACACGGGCATAAGTGATCGCTGTGGTGGTAAGCTGTCTTTTTGGGATCGCATCTCTCAAGGTCCACTATGTTTAATTCTTTCAGCCACAGAATGTTGCAATTTCAGCTGTCTTTTGCAGAAAAAGCAGGCCAACCAAGAGATTCTAAGAAGACATGTGTGCTCTGAGTGTTCAGGTATTTGTCCTAAAGTTGTAGAAAAAACACTATACATCTGTCTACTTCTGTATAATGCAGATAAAAGGGGAAAGTGGACAAAAGGAAAGTGGTTGTCTAATCAGATTTGGAATTAAGCTCAATCCCAAAGTCTTATGAACTGTGGTTCTTTTGGCATCTTACTGATTTTAAAAATAGAAATTATTCAAAACTAATGAGCTCCTACTAGAGAAGTTTAGAGTAACTATTACTGTGTTTGCTGATTTGTTTATCTAGAACAGATAGATACTTACACACAAACTTGATACTGTTCCTGCACTGTCTAAAGCACCGAGGAGGAGGGGAAGCACTCTTTCTCTAAGACAATGTGCATCTAAAAGCCTCCTTCTCCTTTTCTAAACATTTCAGACTTGATGTTCGTTCCAATGACTAGCATTTTCTTATTACCAGTTATAATTCACTATCTCTAAGGCACCATACATACAGATATGTCATTCTGTTAACATTGTCATTATAATCTCATAATTTCTTTTCTTAAAAATACAGGGTATTTAAATTTTATTATAAATGCAAAAAAGTGGACAACCCACCTCCTTCCACAAACTTCATGTCCTTAGTTTGAGAAGAAAGACAAAACTCTTGCTGATAATTTTTAAATGGGCTTGGACTCACATTATTTTTTTATCTTCTCCTTAGATAGTGTAGTAATCCTAAGTAATTATTAATAATGAATATCAGGGAATTTCTTGTTCTCCTAAACACAGGGTGACAGAACTCAATCTTCCTTGTTCTAGATCTTCTCATTTACCGAAATCTGCCTGGGCATTGTGCCTTTTACAGAAAATGCTCCTTCTTCTACTTCTTATGTAGTCTAGTTAGGGAGAGGAAGAAAAGCTGTAATGACCTTGGGGAGAATGTATTCCCAGAGTCTTTCTCCATGATCAAAATAAAATTGCAAACCTAAAAAGCACTTTAAATACTAGTGTGGGTTGAATTTAAAACTAAGTGACTATTTTAAAGTTAAAGGTTAATCAATGCTCAGATCATAGCCATAATCCAGAAAAAAAATTAGAAAACAGAAGTATTATTTTGATTATAACATTATTACTTGAATTAATATATATAGATATATATTAAATAATATGTTTATTATATTATCCAATTTATCTCATTTTTTAGGTTTGAATTGCTCTACTTCTAACAAACTAAAAAAGCTATATATAAAGAAAAATAAGTAGAGAAATAGTCACTCTTAAAGTACTTGGCCAAACAAGATAATACACCTTTAATCCTAACTCTTGGGAGGCAGAGTCATAGTGTTCTCTATGAGATCAAGGCCATCCTGGTCTATGTAGAGAGGTCCAGGTCAGCTACAGCTACATAGTAAGACCATGACTTTGATTTAAAAGAACAAACAATCAAAAGAAATAAGGAAGACTGGAGACAGAAGACAGATTTGGAGCAGAACTGAATTGCAACAAACTAATTCACTGGAAAACTTATGGGTATATATACCCACAGATAGCTAAGTGTCCAACAGTACCCAAGCTCCATTAAAATGTCATTGACAGAAAATAAAAATAATACAGAGAATAAAAATAAATAAAAAAAAAAAAAAAAAACCAGCTTTTGTCAAAGTTGTGTGGACCCTCAATGACAGCTTAATTTCTCTTTGGTTCACATGCAAAATATCCATATCACAGGTGGTAACTAGGAAAGAGCTTTGTTTCTGGAATAAAAATGATATAATTTTTTGTGTCTATTTTATTTTTGTAGTATAATGTTTTGGAAGTTTACCATGCAGTTGCATTATTGGTGAATTGTTCTTATTTAGTACCAAGAGATATGCTACTCTGTAGTCATTCCCTTGTGGATATTTGGATATTTTTATTGCCAGCATATGTCTATAATGAACAATACTTCTGTGAACATTTTTGTGCAATTCAGGTACACATAAATTTTCAGTTCTCTTGCACTGAAACCTAAAACTGTAACTACTCTACATTACTGTAAAGTGTATGCAGAGTGCCTAGGACAGTCTCATGTAGGCTCCCTAATTGTCAGTTCAGTCTCTGTGAGCCCCTATGAGTCCAGATTAGTTGATTCTGTGAGTTTTTTTGTGGTGTCCTTGACTGGCTCTTACAATCCTTCCTCTTCTGTAGGATTCTCCAAAGCTCAGCCTAATGTTTGCCTGTGGTTCTTCATTTGTTTCCATCAATTGCTGGTTTAAGCCGCTCTGATGAAAATGAGGCTAAGCATCAATCTATGAGTATAGCACAATGTCATTAGGCATCATCACATTTGGCATTTTTTTCCCTTCCAGTTGTGTTTGTTTGTATCTTAGGTCTCTGTGTCATCCAGTGGGTCCTTGCTATGGAACAATGCTTTTGTACAGTGGTTTAATAAAATGGTGGTTGGCCAGTTGCCAGGTAGGAAGTATAGGCAAGATAAGCAGACAAGGAGAATTCTGGGAAGAGGAAGGCTGAGTCAGGAGATGTCAGTTGCCGTCCAGGGAGCAGCATGTATTAGCACACAGGTAAAGACATGGAACACATGGGAACATATAGATATTAACAGAAATGGGTTGAATTTAAGTTTAAGAGCTAGTCAATGGTAGGCCCAAGCTAATGGTCGAGTAGTTTTAGTTAATATAAGCCTCTGTGTGTTTACTTGGATCTGAGTGGCTGCAGACTGGGTGGGACACAGGACAACTTTCAGCTACAGGTCCTGGTGCTTCAGGCAGTCAGGTATAGGTTTACTTGTGGCATGGGTGTTAGGCTAGACCCGTCATTGGCTAGCCACTCCCTCAATCTCTAGGTCAACCTTTCCCCAGCACTTCCCATAGGCTGGACAGGCTGTAGGTCAAATGTTGTGTGGCTGGGTTGTTGTCCCAATCCCCCTCTTGAAGTGCTTCCTGGTTACAGGAGATGGCCAGTTCAGGCTATGAATCAACTATTGCTAGGAGTCTTAGCTGGAGTCATCTTTGTAGATTCCTGGGAGATTTTTTTCATTAGGTTTTTTTCTTGATTTTGAAATGCCCTCCCTTTTTAGTAGTCTCTTCCATTGCTCTTCTCCTCTACCCCTACAACCTGATCACTCATGTTCTCATCCCCTCCTGCCAGTCCAGTCATGAAATTTCTTCTATTTCCCCTTCCCAGGGATATCCAGGCATCCCCCATGAACATTCCTTGTTACCTAGTTTCTCAGGGTCTGTGGATTATAACATGATTATTTCTTAGCTGCAAAAATATATTTTAGAGATTCAGCTGTGTATTAAAGCTGTACTTTGACTTGCCAAGGGTCTGTCAAAAGACAAGCCATTTATTATGAATGTTTGTTACTATCCAGCCTTTAATATTTCAGCTGTCTTCTATTATGAAACTCTTGCATGCCCAAGTATTTCCAAACCTGCTGAACTTCTAGGTTACTTACACCCCCACACACACCCCCACACCCCCACACACCTCCTGAGTCTAGGAGACAAGCTGGCTGGAGACTCATAAGTTTGCTTCTTGTGCAAATGAAGACCAGACCATCTCCTTGCCTTGAGGCCTAGTGGCTCTGGA